TACACACATATACATGTACATATATACACACATGTATATATACACATGTACATGTATATATACATACATGTATGTATATATGTATAATATATAACATATTATACACACACACATATATATATGTATGTGTGTGTATATATGTGTACATTTCTAGTTGGCCTGGAGGTCAATGAAATCTGCCTAACTTTACCTGCCAGGTGCTGATACACACATACACATACACACCCACACACATTACACTCTTCATTGTGCTTGCCATATATATTACACACAGAATTTTGATGACGATACCATCATCATCATCTCATTACTTTGCATAGGGGAAATAAGAGCCGAGACAGTAGCCGCTCTTTTGTTTATCTTCTTTTCTAGGACTGTCAGAATTGCCCTATTGCCATTCTGTTAGCTGTTATGAAGTCCTTCTTTCCTACAGTTCTCCTGTTGGAATGATGACCTAAGCTTGGTAGTTAAGAACAATACTGTTGGAACCTCTGCTTACATCAATTCATTTAATTCTCAAAGCAGCTCAAGGTTCTATCAGTATTTCCATTTTACTGATAAGGGAGCTAAGTCAGTGGGGATGGAGTGTCCCCAGTACCTCATGAGTCAGCTCTATTCTGTCCTCGGTGCCAGTGGTTCTCAACCTCGATTGCAGCCCCTCTGGGGCTTATATGTCAGATTAGTTCATATGAGATATTTATATTATGATTTATAACAGTAGCAAAATTAGGGTTATGAAGTAATTTTTTGAAATAGTGAAATAATTTTATGGTTGGGAGGTTGCACAGCATGAAGAGCTGTATTAAAGGGTTGCAGCATTAGGAAGGTTGAGAGTCACTGGTGGTCTGTTCTGTATTGCATACTCTGTAGTAATGGGTTATGAATATTTACAACAACAGCAAGATCACTGATATGCTTGAGGAAGACTTTAAACAATCTCATCAAGTAAATTTCTTTCTTTTTGTTTTTTTTTGTTTTTCTAGACAGGGTTTCTCTGTGTAGCCCCGACTGTCCTGGAACTCACTCTGTGGACCAGGCTGGCCTCAAACTCAGAAATCCGCCTGCCTCAGCCTCCCAAGTGCTGGGATTAAAGGTGTGTGCCACCACTCCCGGGCTAAGTAAATTTCTTGATGTTGTCTGCTCACATTGGTAAGACCGATGAGTAGACCAGGTTGTACAGTGTTTTGCGTTTATTTTTCATGGCAGAGAACAAGGGGTTAGGATGGAGATGGAGCTGGAACATGTTCATGGGGAACTGATGGAATGATTCTGAGTTAAAAGTAGGTATTAGAACTTGTTGATTAGAAGATTCGGAGTTGAGTGTGGTTTCTAATTCTGATGCAAGCATATGCTCCTCACTCAACTTAAATGCCTCTGAGTATTAAAATAAAGGGAAGAAGCTACCAACCCCCTCCTTCCCTAGTTTGCGGAATCAGACATTTCTCCTCAGTCATATTATGGGGAGCCTTGAAACCATTTCCAGTATTTAAATTAGTATTTTCAGCAGATCCTTTATCTTCCACATCATGCAGAATTTGGATAGAAAAAAAAAAAAGATCCAAAATCAAACAATTGTATTCTTTCATGTAAGTTTTGGATCTTGTTTTTCAACAGCACTTAAATATTCTAGCAAAGAGTTTCCTCATACATTTCCCTTCTATCAAATTTCACAGTTGACTTAATTTTGAAATTGTAAGTGGAAAGGGCTGCTCTGGGCCCTTTGTTGCACTGAGACAGTCATACACGTAAACTCACAGAGCAATGGGTTTTGAATTATTTATTTATCTTGTAAAGATGTGTTTATTTTGTATGTATGGGTGTTTTGTCTGTATCTCTGTCTGTGCACTACATGGCTATGCTGCCTGTGGAATGCATGAATCCCCTGGAACTGGATGGTCTGAGGCTCCATGAGGGTGCTGAGATTGTTATCCAGGGCCTCTGGAAGAGCAGTACTCAGTGCTCTTAACTGTTGAGAAGCCACTCCAGCCCCTAAATCTCTTGAAGAAATAATATTTTATGTATATGGGTGTTTGCCTGCTTGTATGTCTACCCTGTGTACATGCCTGGTGCTGAGGAAGCCAGAAGAGGGTTTGGATCTCATGAATCTTAAGTTATAGATGGTTGTGAGCTGTCTCATGGCTGCTGGGAATTGAACCTGTGTCCTTGGAAGAGCAACCAGTATTCTTACTGCGGAACCATAAGAACGTTATCAGTGTGTTTCCCTCTGTAATTGAACCAGCAGTTGCTTTCTTTAGATTATGGGCTTGTATTTTGAAATTTCAATTAAATTGAAGATAGATATGGCTAGTAAAAAATTTAAAAACACATTTGAGATTTTTAGAAGGTAAATGCCTTTTTATACTATTAGAACAGAGGTAAGAAAGTTGACAGCAGTTAGACATAAATGAAGAAGGCTTAATTACAAATATTTTGTCTGGTCTGTAATAAAATAATTCCATATACAGCCACTTGAAAGTGCCTGAGAAATGAATGCTGCGGCTGCTGCTGCTATGGCTTTCACATGGCTTACTGACATTTCCTGTCAGGTTAGCTCTTGAATCCAGGGAAAGTACTCCTTAAAATAAGATTGTCTTAGGTGTACTTCACCATCTGTGTTTTCAAGGTATATATATTTTTAGATATTGATTATATTTCTATATGAAGGTACTGTTATGTGGTGTATTTCATTAGTTTATTTGTCAAGTATTGTAGAGAAGCTGGTGTGTGCCACATGTTTCTTGAGACTCGGGGCTCAGTGGTTGAACTAAATGGACAGAGTGGGTTAAGCTAGTGAGTGTGGAGCTCCAGTGTCACTTTACATTTGTACTGTGAGGGTGGCAGCTCTGAAGTTTTCTGCTTGGTTAAATGGCAGTAGAAACAATCCCTGTCTCATAAGTTGCTGGGGTGAGTAACGCCCTTTGTACATTAACTGGGACATAGTGAGCACTCAGTAACATTTCTGTGTTGGTGTTGATTTGGTACTGATTGTACTGCATTCTGTAGGAGGAGCTAAGGTGAGAGGAGTAAGGGGAGGAAGAGGAAAAGGAGGAGGAGTGGGGGGGGGAGAGGTGTAGGAGGATGAAGAGCCCGGCAGGTACGGGAGCAGTCCTGGGTAACAACTTATATTTAGGTTAGCTAATTGGCATATTATATGGGCATATTCTTATTGAGCATTACCAAATATATAAAACCTTTGATTAATATTTAAGCTTGGAGTCTCAATTCCTACTGGATGGCGAGATGGTCTGGGTAAAGCCCAGCCTTGAAGAGACAGTGTGGGAGATTGGCAGAGCCATCTCCCACACTGGCATCTCTGTGGGTGCCAGGGCGGGTATTTCTGGCTGGCTGTTCCTAGCTGTGGCACACACGTGTAGCCTCTGGCTGTTTCTAGCTGCTGCACGCACATGGCCTCTGGCTGCGGAACATGGCGACCAAGCTAAGCAGAGCTGCTGCTGCTGCTTAGATAGTTGCCTCAAGAAAACACCATTTTAAATAATTACGGCTACAGCATTCCTAAAAACAAAGAAAGATGGAGACAAAGATGGAAGATGGTGATGGTAGAATGGCTCTCCCTAACGGTGTGTCGTGTTACAGTCTGTGAGGAGTGCCATCTCTGCTCTAGAGCAATTGTAAAATGCTCTTCCATCTGTATGCTCATTTCTTTCCATGACCGTGTTCATGACCAGGCCCACATGGAAAAGAATAGCAAGTAGAATTCTCAGCTTTTGTCTTTCTTCTCCCAGCCCTGTAGTGAAGCTCTGTGTTCGGTTTTAGCTTTTACCAGTGTGAGTTACTTATCCAGGCAGTTGTGTCAGCACAGCTTAACCGTATCAGCATGCCACCGTGCCATTACATACAGCATGAGTACAGAGGGTAACTAAGAAGTTTGGGATTGCGTTCAAGGTACTCTGGATTGAATGTAGAGTCTTGTGTGTTAAGCAAGTGCTCTGTTGTTGAGCTTTATCTCCCTTATTCAACTTTTTATTGCTTCTTTGTGAGTTTCACATCATGTACTCCAGTCCTGCTTATCTCCCTGTTCCCTCACATCCACCCTTTGACCTGCAGCCTTCCCCCCAAATAAAACACACACACAAAAGCAAAACATAGAAAACAAATCATCGGGGAAGGTGTAGTATATCAGCCTGTCCCACAGTATATCCCTCTGTCCACACATCTTGGCTTGCAAATAAATGTTCGTTGCAATGAGTCATTCGTCTGGTTTGAGAACTCTGGCTTCTGTGTCACCATCAATATTGGATCCTCACTGGGCCTCCTTCCAGTTATCCTCTTGTTGCTGTGTGTCATGAGATCCTGCAGCTTTGGATCAGTAGGATTGGTTCTTTCAGGCATCCCAGCTATTTGAAGATGATACAGATTTTGTGGTGGTCCATCTCAGAGCCCTGGAACTGGGCCTGGGTGATAGCTATGCTGGTCTGCGCACTGGTTCCTCCTTATCTGTACCACTAGGGAGAGCTTTCTAGCACTGCTCTGTCTAGGCCACCCAGTACTACCACAGGCAAGCAGTGTCAGCTCTCCTGCTCTCATGCCCTCAGGGCTGGCTCACCTGCACCCAGGCCTCCAGAGCCAGATCCACTGTGTTGCCCAGTCAGGGTGTAGGGACAGCTCTCTAGAGTGTCCCAGCTGGTAAAGGGCAGGGCTAGCTCACTGGAGGTGGTCAGGGGTGCACCACTTCTGCCCCATAGCAGCAGGGTCAGCTCTCACATCCGCACATCCTCAGGGCCAGCTCACGCACACCCCTGCCACCAGGGCCAGCTCTCCAGATTGCTGCAGCTAGTGAGGAACAGAGCCAGTTAGCTGCCCTGTGGACATCCATGTGATCCCTGGTGGCTGCCCCAACCAGGGATGTCCCCATGTTCTCTAGTGGTAATATAAGCTACAGACACCAACACCAACCCTTGCTCCTGGGTAGCCATGGACCCAGACATAGCCCTCATCAGCAGTTCAGGCTAGGACCTTATCCAGATGATTACAGTGACAGGATTTACCACTGACAACAGGCTATTCCTCTCCAACCTCATGTCTCCAGTTCCATCTCTCTTCATGATGTTCAAGCTGCTCCATTTCTCTTTCTCCCCCCTATGTCCTTCACACACTTAGAAATTGTGGTGGCTCTAGGCTGCTACCAACTAGTGGGTCCCTGGGTGAGATTCTCAGGCAAGTGGATGTCTGTGGCCACATGTGCTATGTGTGGGCAGGCCTGTGGGTGACATGGAGGTCCACAGATCTCTGTCTGTCTTCCTCTTCCCATGCTGTGGTCCATAATGGTAGGTGTGGCTCTGGGCATCTATGACCCACCTGTGACATGGGGCAGAGAGCAGGTCTGTGAGCATCTTTACCTCTCACACCGTATGGCATGGATGAACACAAGTCTGTCTTCTTCCTCCCAAGCTACTTTTCCTGGATTTGATTTGATTTTGAGATTTCCTAGGCATAAAACAGCCTTTGTCACCAAGCCAGGCATCAAGCTGGGATGAACAAAGGGTTCCCACCTGCTCTGCCCAAATGACATAACAACAACAGGGATCTCTTTGCCCATTGCCAGGGGGCAATATTTTTTATTTTGGGGTAGGGTCTCATGGAGTTGCCCAGGCCAGCAGTGAGCTCATTCTGTGACCCAGGCAGCTCTGAACTTGTAATCCTCCCAACAGCCTCCTGAGGAGCTGGGGGGTACAAGCATGTGCCCCTAAGCCTGGCTGAGGTTTGGAATTTATCATACATGTCAGGGAGAAATGTGAGTTATACCAGCATGGCCAGAGTGTAACTCAAAATTAATGTGTGAGCAAGAGATAAATGAATTGAGCGACTGTTGCCGCTAACTGAGCTGTGACCATAGCAACACAAGTTATAATCATGTGGAGCCAGTCATGAACAAGATGCTTCCCTGTGATGAGCAGGTGGAGCATGAGACCCTGAGACACTAGAGTCCATCTCCTATGTGGGTGTGCTTAATCGTTAGTTAGTGTGTTAAGCCAAAGTCTGCTCTGCTGAAATACCTTTGTGCTGTGCATGTCTACACACCTACCCTACCCCTCACACATAGACTTGAACTCGACTACATTCAAAGCAATATAATGAGCCCACTACTTTATTTTTCTTTTTCAAGTTACTGATTTTTTGATAAAGTTTTTGATCACCTTGAAGTGGATTTGAAAGAATGCCAATTCTTGTATTAAAATTTTACAGTTTAAAAGTTACTGTATTGCTGTTTGTCTTGCCACATATCTTAGTTATTTATTTATTTTTTGTTGTTGAAATGCCCTAATACAAGCAACTTGAAGGGGACATTGTGTGTAGTGGTGAGGAAGGCCTGGACACAGCTAGAGGCAGCTAGCCACTTGCATCCTCCCCCAGTCAGGAAGCAGAGGGTGATGAACACTCTGGTCTGCTCTGCTCTGCACACGCTGTGTGTCTTCTCACTTTGTTGCCTTTATTTGTTCTAATATTTGTAGAAATGGTGCATGGTTCTGCTGAGTCTGGGTGTCTTCTCTCATGAAGCTTTCCTTGTTCATTTCTGCAAGAAGGAACATACTGTTTTCTAATCTCGAGTCAGGTCTTTTTTTCATTTTCTGTATACTTATTCACTGGAGAGTATAGTATATGTCTTTAAATGCAAGGACAAGTCTGCAAAGTCCATGGAGTACTTGTACAGTCTCTTGGGTAGTACTTAGTGTTTGTCATCCAAACGCCTGTAAAAGTGACAGGGGCCATGGGGGTAGCAGGATCCCTCACCCTTAGAATCTTCAGGTATTTTCTTAACAGGAGAATCGAGAAGAGGATTATCAACAGCTTGTGTTGATTGGCTCATTGTCTAGATCGTGGAGTCCCTTGGGATACTTAGAAATGCTTCTGTTCAAGTAGGACTTGTAATTTTAAATGCTGAATGTGAATGTGAGGGGGGCGCTCTGTGTGAGCATTTAGCCCCACAGTGAGGTACTAGGTAGTTAGCTCACAAAGTTGGCTTACGTATAGACGCAGTGCTGGGACCTTATAGACGCAGTGCTGGGAGAGGTATCAACAAAAGCTAACTTTATCAATATAAAGTAACAGCTTAGATTTAGGGATATTACTTAGCTCTTTTTAAAGGATATTTTGCTCCTTTTAAAATGTTAGTAAAACTACAAACAAGCCAATTTGTATTTTTTTTATTGTATTGATTGGATTAAAGATACTTGTTTTCTTACTTTTCATAATTTCCTTTTGTTGCAGGATCCTCATGCAGAAGAGTTTGAAGACAAAGAGTGGACATTTGTCATTGAGAATGTAAGCTAATGACATACTTCTCGTGGTTTTTAATTTTTTTTTTAACCTTACTATTATTAAAGCCCACAGGCAGTTTGTCATGGGGGAAGTGTTGCTTATGGAAACTTATCAGGGAATTTGTAGGTTTGGGAAGTTATCAATAACAGGTGCTTGTAAAAGTATCTATGATAAAATTGTAACAGTCTTTATTGGCAGTCTCTGTATACACTATCTGTGTTCTGCTTAGGGCCGAGGCAGAGCCGTTGACTTACATTCTTTATTCCTTCAGCACCCAGTTTGGTATTTCTTATATAGTAAGCACTTGCATATTATGGAATCCCAGTAGGCTAACAGGTATATAGCGGTGTTAAATCAATGCTTTCTAACTAGAGATTAGAGAAAATAGGCAACGATAAAAGTATAGACCTTGGGCTGGGGGTGGGGCTGGAAGTTGGCTCCTAGGTTAAAAGCACTTGCTATTCTCTGAAGACTGGAGTTGGGAGTTTGAACAGTGGATACCTATAACTCTAGCTCCAGGGGATTTGATACCCTCTGAATGAACATGGGGCTACACACACATACACACGCACGCACGCACGCACGCATGCACGCACAGACTTGGTTCCTCAGCTTTTGAGCGGTTGGGCAGATTGTGTATCTCTCCGTGAGCCTTTACTACTGCTGTGATCATCACCATCTTCATCACTCTCCTCAGAACTCGTAAGACCTACGTGTGACCTGCTTATGACAGTCTCTGTGTCCTGTTCCTTTCTTCTATGCCTGGCTTCACTTTGTGTCTCAGTGTTAAAAGGAAACTTAAGCTTTTCCCAACAGTAACTTGGACCATTTTTAGGTTTAAAGTGTTGGGAAGAGAGGAGCAAGATCAAGTCTCAGGTACAAACACAGCTGGGGAGTTCTGGCTGACCTGAACCACTGCCAGCATGTTGGAGTCTCACGTGCATCAACAGTTTTGGCAATTTTGTAGGGATAGGTCTGAGCATAAATTATACTTGGGAGAAAAAACAAACTCATACTTAAGTTAGACTCAAAAGCTAACATGTTGATATCGTATGGAGAGGTCCACAGTGGATAATGACCTTCCGTGTCTCATGACACCTCTGTGCATGGGAAGCCTTTTAACTTGATAGGCTGTAGACTTAGTGAGTTAAATTTAAACTAGTTAATGGTAGAAGTATGTTAAAACCAGTTTTATATTTGTATTATTCAGTGTTAGGATAAAGAAACAATAGTTTCACATTTCTGAAAATCAGCTTATAAACTAATGTTTCAAAAGGCTCAAGTTTGTTTTTTATTTTTAAAAGGAAAACTGTATGACATTATAGATTTGACTACTGCCAAAGGTATTTTAAAGATCAGCAGAGGTACATACTAAGTCTTAAAATGGTAAACTTTAACTGTAATATAAAATAAAAATATAAATTGGATTTTCTTCTGTATTGGGATATGTATTTCTCAAATAAGAGATTATGTTTATAACATTTTTAAAAAATTTTTATTTATTTATTATATGTAAGTACACTGTAGCTGTCTTCAGACACCCCACAAGAGGGCATCAGATATCATTACAGATGGTTGTGAGCCACCGTGCCGTTGCTGGGATTTGAACTCATGACCTCTGGAAGAGCAGTCAGTGCTCTTAACCACTGAACCATCTCACCAGCCCGTTTATAACATTTAATATAAAATATATTTAAGTTCAGAAATATGTTTAGCTAATTTACCTTTTGTCCAAGTAGCTAAAATTTCTAGAAGTCAGTCAGGGAGAAAGAAAGCATGGGAAGAGGG